TATTGTTAATTATGACTTTTTTATGAAAGATTTGTAAAATTTTTTTTTAAATACTTTAACTGTTAAAAATAAATGTTTGACATAAAAAAATCTAATGTTTCATTGATTTTGTGCATTAATTTATTTAGCGGAGTACATTTTTGAGAAACCCCAGGGTTTAAGCTAAGAGTTATACAATTAGCAATAACTTGGTAAGTTTTGTTCCAATTTTTTTTTTTTAATTTTTTCAGATTCAGTGAGTATAAAACTATCTTTTTAAGGTGGAAATACCAGTTAAATAATTTATGAAATATAGTCAGCAAAGAGCAGTTGCATTAGATTTTTATGATCAGCAGTGAAAGGGTTAAAGATGTTTTATAACATATTTTAGTATAATGTCAGCTAGACGTTATGAAAAATACTTCATGTAGATTATATTAAATTTCTAATAGTAGATGATTTTTAGACAGCTTATAATGGACTTAAAATAGACAGATTTAGACATCCATTGAGGGTTTTTATGCACTTCATAATTGACTGTAGGTATACAATTTTGGTCATCTATTAGTTGATGATTTTTAGATGATATGGATATTTTAAAATAGATTGAAAATAGACAGTCAAAAAACCCGCTGTACGGCGTCTATAACCGGGATATAATAATACGCTCGTCGTAGCCTGTCGGTTGAAGGTCGTAACCACGCCCATTGTTTCCGTGACTGTGATAGCTGCGTCGAGTGCTTCGATTTTTATCAGCCACGTTTTATACTTTTATCACTTAATATAGGTAAATTAAGTACATAATCTATGGTTTTACCCTTAGATCATATTATACTGATCTAATGTTTTATACTTTTATACACGATTTAAGTTTATTTTTGGTGTCGCCAATTAAACTCATTACTCTGCTTTTATCTATAACTTTTATCATCAGTTTCCCCTAAAAAGAATGGCTGCAAGCATTATGCTGTATTTATTAATTATTAATTTACTCTCTTAATGTCTCGCAATACAATGACTGTTGATCATATCTGGAATAATCTCTCTTCTAAAGTGGCATTCATAAATTGCAAACAATTAAAGCGTAAATACATTGCTAACATTCTTTCAAACAGTAACCGGTAAATAACCCCACGAAAAAATCTAAAAATTACTGTTGAAAATCCCTAGTTGTTGTTGTGAAATGGAACTTGATGAATTACAAATCGTAAATGACTTAATAATTTTCAAAAAATTCAATTAATATTTGCTAACTGCTGTAATTTCTACATGAGATATGAATTTGTAGATTATTTCCTGGCAGCATTGAAAAACATGACATTTATTTTATTTGTATGCTTGAAAGACAATTTTCAAATGTTAAATTCTGTATTACTTGCAATGGAATATTAGTTAAGTATGCCTGTCAGTTATAATTAAATTTATAATGTTACAAGGCTGGGCAAAGTTAAATATTTTTTTTAAACTTTTGAGTTAAGTTATCATAGATAGATGTAAGTTAAGGTTAAATTTGAAAGAGACCTTTATTTTTTTTTAGTTGTAAAAGTTAAAAGTTAATTAGATAACTCAAGATAATTTAAGAGGACATGGTACTCACAAGTGCTGTCTCTGTCTTACAAGTACTTAACATAGCAAATGATGTGCTCAGCAATTCTGTAATACACAATTCATATCCACATCCGGTATTCATTGTTATTTCCTGAGTGCGTTTATACTTTATAGTGCGTTTATAGTACGTTTATAGTGCGTTTGAATAGTAGTATCGAATATTCTTTATTAAGTATTTCATTATTCTTATTTTTTAGTTAAATTAAAATATTTTTTCAAGTTTAGTAGTTGGTTCTTGTAAGTTTTTTGTTTATTATTAATTTTTTTTTTTTAATACTTATTTATTAATTTTGTGTAAGTATAGTACAGAAAAAGCTTATAAGGTCGAAATTAAGGTTCGAGACTTACATATAAAAAGTCGAGATTTAGGTTCAAGACTTAAAATTAAAAGTCGAGATTAAGGTTCGAGACTTATATTTAAAAAGTCGAGATTAAGGTTCAAGACTTAAAAGTAATGTCGAGATTTAGGTTCGAGATTAAAACCAAAGCTTTTACACAATTCATATTAAATTACTTAAGTGTTTATACCTAAATTGTAGCTGTGACGTGTAACAAAATGAATAAATAATAGATTGAATGAAATAGCTCAGTATGTTTGTATTGAATATCCCAAATTAAAACTTTAGTGAAGTCAGTTTTACACATAAGTGTGTGACAGACATTTACGAAAGACCTTTAAAACAATAAATTCAAATTTGAAAAATTTGACTGATTTTAGTTATGCACAAATGCATGCATTATGTATAGAATGGAATGGTTTTTCTTCTATTTTTGATTATCTCAATTGGTGTTACACCGTTTTGTTTGAAGCTGTTGATGGGTCAAACATGACAATCATCAATGTGTGTGTAAATCATTATACACAAATAATTGTGAACCATGTGTTCATGTATTTCAAGGTCAGCAGTGACTTTGTTCAAATTGTAAAACAAAAATATGTGTAACCTAACTATGTAATTGACGGGATATGAATACTGTTCAACATGGAGAAGATGGACGACATTGTACAATGGTTCATTTCGTTCACAGTCATATTATTGTCTCAAACTAAAAACAAGCAGATGAGATGTGCATTTAACACTTAACAAAATAAGTGCAAAGAAAATGGTCTACTATTGTACGATGTAGATGACAATGTTTGTAGCTTTAGTGATATAAATAAAGTTTTATGTGAAACGTCAACGAGGAAGTCTACGTTGTATTGTACATTTCAAGAGATCAAAGAAAAGATAAAAAATAGACTCGAACATAGTTTAACCCTAGGTAATGAACCAAACGAATATTTTAATGGGGAGTACTTAGACAGTTTTATACTAAAGTGTGTACCGTTTATACCACTGTGGACGCCTGTTATGAACACAACGGTCAACAATGTTGTTTCAATACAACGGAGTAACGCAACAGTAGAGTCATGGTTTAAAACTGTAAAAATAGACATGTTGGAAGGCAATCGCAGACTGAAATGCGGACGATTCGTGAAAGCATTGCGCAATCGTGTGATCAACGTTTGTAAACAAGTGGAGCTTGGTATTAGAAAAAAGAGATGTACGAGAGTACTTAATTTCCAAGACCAGTTACCGAATAAGAGAGTTAAAATGTCAAATGAGTCTTATATTAGAGGCAAAAAAGATAATGTAGATGAAACATTCCTTGATTCTGTAGAAGAATGGGGAAAGAAAGAAAAACAGCACAAGCATTTGCAACCGAAAATTTACCGTCCATTTAAAAAGTCACAGTGTGAAAATATCATAGATACCACTAAACAATTGGTGATATCTGACAAGAATGAAGTAAAATCAATTAAAAAATGGTGATGAAATCCTACTTAATGGGGTGTTTATTGTTAGAGATTCAATTAACAAGTCTTTTTCTACACCTGGCAGCCACGAGTCTCCCTTCAATTTGAAAAATTCAAACGGTTTAGAGTTTTACAGCAATATGTTGCCAAAAGATTTGGCATATTACAGACATGTCATAATACCAAAAACAAATAATTATATTGTTGGATTATATGATTATATTTGTAAGGGAAAGAATGGTGATATATTTTTTCCACAGTTACTGTTAAGTGACACTTTGTCAAAACCAAATTGGTTGAATAATTTTGTGATAGACATTTGTTTAGTATCAAAAGTGATTGAACTAGGACTGCAACATTTTGAAGTTTTGCCATGTGAATTAGTGAGTCACTTGTTGGCAAAAAAAGATGTCGGTGAAGATATGGATTGAAAGATTGTCATTGGAGAGAACAGTATAGTTATTTTACCATGGAATATTAACAAAAAATCATTGGATGTTTGTCATTGTTGATTTAAGCACTAATGAATGTAGTATCATGGATCCCATGAAACCCATTGATACCGGTAACAGAATACATGAAAACCGTTTTAAACACTTGTACAAAGCAATGAAAAATAATTGTATCTACGGACCTACGGTAACAAAAAAAATTTCCCATTGTTAAATTTAATTTCATGTTCTAAGGAAAATATACTAGTTCAGACACATGGCTATAACTGAGGAGTTTTTGTAAAATACTATGTGCATACTATTATAAGTAAATCAGATTTTGATCCTGATTTCGATCCTGTGGAGTACAGAAACTATCTAAAAAGGTATATTTTGGAAAAATCAGAAGACATCACCAATATGTGCCTATACTGCCAGTGGCGTGATAAATTGCGGTGAGGCAAACATTTTTACTGACCACCCACCCTTCAAAATCTCTCATAAAACCCTCAGTTCATCAAAACACACACAAAAAAAAAACTCACTTCAAAAATGGGTTTCAAATAGGTACCTATGAACATTCTTCACAAAAGAAAATTACAATAATTATGTGTATGTAGGTTCCTTTAAAAGGTCTCTGTCTCTCTATATTTTAGATAAAAAACATCCCTAATAATTTCTATTAGTACGCCCAAACAGTTGAAAAATAGAAAAAAATTTAAATTTAAGTATAAAAAATTTGTACTTTGAAGATTGAATTTCAAATTTGTGAAAAGCAAATGACACAGATAATGTAGTTAACTTTGTTAATCCATTTTTAAAACATTAATTTAATTGATTCATTCATCTCGGCGTACTAATGGATCTTGCTAACATCTTTGAAGAATGTATTATGTAAATGAAGGGGTTACAATACGTTATTTTGTTGTATATTTTGTGCCAAAATACATATCTAAATATTTATTGCCTAAACGATTTATTGATTCAACAATTAATAAATGTAAGAAGAGAAGCTCCTCTAAAGCACATTCTTGTAATATGAGCTTTTTATGATATAATTAAGTCATTATCTAAATTTTTTTATTTATAGTAACATACTTACATAAATAAGTATAGTAAAATTAATATACAATTTAGACAAGTATAAAACTATAGATACCATTTTAATTATACATGTATATTTATTAAAAACAATTTAAGAAAACATTAATCTCTGAAGATAGAGCAACTTGATCAATGACACTGTTTATGTCAATAGGAATATCTTTTTCAGTACTCAGAATTAAAAGACTTTCCAAACGGCTTTGCCCTGTTGAGGATCGCAATCTATTTTTTATCAATTTCACCTTAAAATAAAAATGTACCAAATAATTATAATGATGTTTTATGCTTGTAATAGCAATTTATATATGATTATTTATTACTTTTGAAAAACTACGCTCAGCAGAAGCCGATGATATTGGAATGGTACTCAATGACTTGTAGGCCATATATAAATTTGGAAACGCATCAATTAAACCATAACTTGATAATAGCTCAAGTATTTTTATACATGAAAGTTGTTCATTGTTGTCTTCTGTTTTTTCTTCATTTTCATCTGAACTTGGGCTTGGGCTGTCATCAGAACTTATATGACTATTTTCATAATTTGGTGTAGAATAATTGAATTTAAGTTCATGACCATTTAGTAGTTCACTTAAGCTTTTCCTAAATGTTAAATATTCAGTTCTTAATGCAATTTTGTCAATATGTACAATCCATTTTTGCAGATTATCAAAAGCATTTTGTGGTAATTTGTTTTCATTCGTTGTCATTAATCGCTCAGGAGACAGTAAACACAAATCTTTAAGTATTTCTCTAGAGTCACTAAACCTTACAGTAATAGATGTAATAATAGCATCTAACACTTTGTAATAAACATTTCTTCGGAACATATCACTAGGCGATGAAGAAATTTCATCTCTCGTTTTTTCTCCAGACATCATTTTTATTTTCCTTGGTCTTGTCTGTTTAAAATCTTTTTCTTCTAGATTTTTATCATGTACAAATAACTTAGCATCATTAACTATCTGAATGCAGTTTTATTCAGATCTTAAATTTTGTAAACGAGTTTTAGCATTATCAATTAATGTCATAGCTTGAATGAAATCCATTGATTTTGATTGCAAATAATTAGAAACTATTGTGGTAATTGAAAATATTTTTCTTATAAAGTGCATAACTAAAACAAATTGAAATGATGTAATTATTTTTAGTAAAGATTCTGCAGTTGACACCATATCCCGGTCAGAATCCTTTAGTGTGGTCAATTCATTTAAAGTTTTTAACAAAGCGAAATATTTCTCTTGCACCACAATTAACACCCTATCATGTGATGACCAACTTGTAGATGAAAATCGTTTTAATCGACGTTTCTGTTCTTGTGAGTACAATTCTCCTTGCCATTTCAAGAATATTGCAGTTCGCTTTCTAGCTCGCATAAATTCTACCAATGAGCTGATATTGCCAAAAAATGACTTTGTTTCTAAGCAGCAGTCGCAAGTATCAACTACAACTAAGTTGAAAATATGGGCGGAACACCAAACGTAAATTGCACGAGGATTTTCTTCTTGTATACGTGTTTTCAAACCAGAATAATGCCCTTGCATAGATGCTGCCCCATCATATGCTTAGGCAATTAATTGTGAACGCCAATCAATTTGGTATTTATCAGTAATTTTACAAAAAATATTGAAAATACCAAGACCAGTAGAATCTGGTGCAGTTTCCAGGGCTACTAGTCGTTCATTAACTTTTCCTTGTTCACTAATTTATCTTAAAATAAATGTATACTGCTCAATATTTGATATATCAGTAGTAGTGTCAATAATTACAGCAAATTCGTTAGCCTGTTTTACTTCTTTTAATATAAATGAACGAACTTTTTCTGACAAAATATTCATGATATTGTTTTGAGTGACATTTGATAAAAATGTTACACGGTTATGCTGATTTTCATTTATTTTATCCATATGGTATTTTAATGGAGCATGGTAATTAGATAACAGTTTTAATAATTCCAAAAAATTCCCACGATTAGATGATTTATAGCCTTCATCATGCCCTCGCAAAGCTATATTTTGTCTAGCAATAAATAGTATTGCTTCAATTATAGCTGACATAACTGCTCGGTTTTCAGCGATTTGACGATTAGCTGCTTCTAAGATTCCTGTATCAATTCGCATGTTCTTCTGATACAAACCTCTAGCTATTTCATTGATAATATGCTCTGACCAACTTTCATGAGAATCAATTGTTCTTTTAATATTTTTGTAGTCATTTGACCCTATTTTGGCTAAGAATGAATTTTTTGCTTTTGGAAGGCCAAAAAGCTTACACGATATGCAAAAAAACTTATCTTGTGATGGCGAGTATGAAAGCCACCACCTTTTTACAAACATCCGTCCATTTTGAATTTTACGGTTGTAAAAATTTTCATGAAATGATCGCACATCACCATTTGGATATTTTTTCTTGGGGAACTCATAATTCAATAACTCCAATGCAATTGGTTGACAAGGGCCTAATGATGAAAAGTGATGTAGTAGCTCATTTGATAATACCAGTGGCAGCTTTCCAGGGTCATTTGGAAATACTAGAAAAAATTGTTTTTTATTTTAATTTCAATACTCTATTTACTTATGACTATTGTTAATGCCTAATGAAATATACTTATTTACCTGTAGGAAATGTGCCTGAAGGATTTAATTGCTCGGTTTGTCCACTAATTTCTAATATTGACTCATTTTTCTCTACATTATATCAAATATCAATGATAATTAATATGCAATATACAATTAATACAATTTGTTTTACAAATTATTTGTAGTATTTGTAGCCAATAATTTTTTCATTTAAATACAGTTTATCACCAGCAACCAAAATCAAACATGTATGGCTAAAAAACTACATCACACAACATTAAACTTCTTATAAAAACAGTTTTACCCAGAGCTTAATCACATATATTTGAGCTTTTATACATATAGTCTATATTATACAAAATACCAACACTTTTTTACAAACAAAATTAGTTATAGTGAAACATTGTTATAACAACATAAAAATATGAAAACATTAAATTCTACATGACTACATAAAGAAAAAAATAATAATTTTGGTAACAAGTTGATAACTTTAAATCAATATATTATTGGTTAGATAAAATAGAATAGAAAAGAAGTATTTTTGTACAAAATTATATTAATTTATTAAAGCTACACAAAACATATAACTATCTAAGCGACTTAAATGTTAATAAACATACATAATGAATGTAACATGACAACTGAAACACACAAATAAACAAAAAAAACATAATTAAAATAAACTAAAAACACAAAACAATAATTATTAAAGGAATTACCTTTAGAATTTATTATTTCCACTTTATTTGTCTTACCACTTGGTTCAGAGTCATGATCCAAGTCAAGAGAATTTTGTGGTATTTCAATAAAATCTAAAAAAAAATATATACCCTTGTATAAATAGTTAGAACCATGTATAATAGAAAAAACATTTTCTATATTTATTGATATTTAATATATAACATAATATAAATTTGGAAAAATATTTTTTAATTTTCTAAGCTAAAATGTCTTTACTAACTCTTTACTTACTTACAAAAATGTCCATAGAATTTGTATTATATTTAGGTACAACAAAGTGTAGAAAAATTACAAATTAGTTGTTACTTAATAAAATTACTCATAATAAATATTAAATTTTAAAAAAAAAATGATAATAAAAGATTTGTTTATCATACATATAGAATTTTAGAAACCATGTAAAAGCACTGTTATAATTATTATTTACCTTGAATACAAGCACCGGTCATTTCATCATCCTTATTTGTTGTTAATACATCTTCAGAGTTGCTATTAATCTCTTCAGACACTAAACAAATTATTTATGATTGGAGAATAATACAAATCAAAATTGTATTTTACCTAATACACAATGTAAGTTTGGAAAAATAGTTAAAAATTGTCTAGACCATCATTTCTTAACAAACTTAACTTTCTAATAAAAAATGTATAAATAATTACATAATTAAAAACATACATTTACGTTTTCTCTGTAAAGTAAAGAATGCTGAAATATCGGTATTGTTTTTTTTTCGTTTTTGTACTTCACATGAAGCTACATGTCTTGTCCAATTCAAATCGTTCATATCATTTCTTTTTTTACCACAAAGACACTTCATAACACAACTGCTAGATGCCATTATAAATAAAATAAATCGATACCAGTACACGACTTATAATTTATAAAAGAAACGAGGATCAAAATATCAAATTACACAGACATCGGCATGGACAGACTAGAACACATTGACATTTGCGATTTGCCACGTTTTTATTTTATTTATAATATTATCATATTTAAATTTGATAACGGTTACCGAAACACATGGCACATGCACAGATATCTATACTAATAGTATAGTATAGTATAGTATAGTATAGATATCTGTGGGCACATGGTAGTTTATGTAGATAAGAAAGATAAAGGTAGCCTTCCTAATACCTTTATCTTTCTTATCTACAACCGTAGTAGTCTACAATACAAACTTCTGTTATATAGCTATTATTACTTAAAACTTAAAAGGTATGACTTGACGATAACTGATAGCCGATAGGTAAACGTACAATTATTATATAAATCATATTATGTTGGACAACAAGACACCCACCCCCCATCTTTATAATAACTCAGAGGCAATTGCTTCTCAAATTAACGTTCCTCACGCCACTGAATACTGCAACAGTTTATCAAATAGACGCCGATGCGAAGGAGACCAAAGTGTACAAGAATGGGTGTCATGCACATGGTGTTGTAGATGGATTGCTATAAATTGCATCCACGAAGAAGATAGGATCGATGACTATGCGAGTAGTGATTTTCTGTGTCTATTATGCCAGTAGAACAGAGCCTTGTAAAAGATGCTTTTTAAAAGTATTCTAATACAGATACAGATACTTAAAAGTATATAACATGCTTATTTGAATACTCAGTTAAAAAACATATGATTATAGGTATATTATAATATAGTGTAAAAATAAATAAAATATTATATTAACTAAAAATAATAAGTATTTTAGCATAAGTATTAGATTATAAATACTTTGAGAAAGTACATATTTGAATACTTTTAATTTTAATCAAATTATCTACTAAACTGCAGTAGAACAAATGGGATTGAATTGTGTGTTGTTTATTAGAATTTAATTATTTTAATTTGTTTTTAATCTTAGTTTATTATTTATTTATTTTTAGTTTAATTTAACAGTTGATTCGATACAATTAATGTACAAAATGTAACCACACCAATTATGAACATACCAACATACACCTATATTTTGCCAACTGTAATGATTGTTCTAATTATCGGAAACAAATTCCAAAAACGTATTTGAATTCGTCATGAAGTTTACTTGAAAACGACTTTTCACCTTTTTTAAATTTATCGCTTAAACCCATCAAATTTTAATCCGAAATTTTGAATTTTAAAATAATAGTAATATTGAGCTAAAAAAATCAATTTGAAAATGTAAGAAAGTCGTTTACAAGTAAACTTTATGACGAATTCAAATATGTTTTCAGAATTTGTTTCCGATCACTAGAAAAATCTGTACAATTGGCAAAAGATTAATACTTTTAGAAAAAAAAAATATTATTTATTGTTCACCAAGCGCGCGACGGTGAGTATTTGAAATGTAACTGCGCGTGCTAAAGTGTCCGTTTCCATGAATCTGTTCGCCGCCGCCCGCCCGAGTAAACCAAATATAATAATAGTTCCAGACTTCACGCCTGCGATAAAAATGAAAATATCCATAAACTTATAAATAACATATTATATTATACAATTGATATTATTATCGGAGTATCCCTATTTCGTGCACACTGCCCATAATATTATTTATTAGCGTCTAGCGGCTACGTATAATATCTGCTACGGTAATTATTGCCAGTTGCCTACTATATTGGCTTCTAAATTATAATAAATTGTAATTCATAAACGTTTTACGTTATTCTACTTATGATGGAAAATATTTAACAAATTAAAAAACGAAAAAGGAAATATTTATCCAAAACACTGGGGAAATGTAGATAAACTAAAAAAATGGAGAGAAAATCTTAAAACTGACAGTGACACAGTAAGTCAAAATAATTTACACCATATATAGGTATACAATTTTATTATGTGCATGTGATTTTAATTTTGTATGTATTATTATAATATAGGAAGAAATAAATAATCTGTCGGCATCGGAAAACCATCCTAATACTATCGATGATACTATTATAACAGAACTGGATAATGCCCAAATGTACGTCATTCTCTAATACATTATAGTTATATTATTTTTTTGTTTTATAAGCATTATTGCAGTTCATATTGTATTGAACATTGTATAATTTAGAAAAAAACAGATTTTTTTCTGTATTTTTCTAACATTTATTTTATTAGTAATTTTGATCCCTAATAAAGCCGTTATGGTTATTTAAGGGTTAATGATGATAGTATGATACAAGACTTTTATCCATTGTCACCAGAAACTTCAACAAATATATTCGAACCAACATTTAGACTAAGTACTGTGATCTCAGAAAACGATTCGACCTCAAGGTAAGAAATTTGTTATACTATGCAATGTGCAATATTTTTGTTTTATCTCTCTCTGACTGACCGACGTGCAACATAGCAAAGTTTACGTTCACAATAGGTAACGATTATAATCATAAGAATTTTTTTAATTAAAGTGAAATGTCCTTTTATACAATTTAAAAATAAGAATATAAGATATTATTATCTAGGGCATCTCATAGGCTTTTTATTATATTTTAATTTTAAAGCGAGTTATGAGTATTTTATAAAATCAAAATATAATAAAAAGCTATGCTATGCTATTTCCTAGCTAGATAATAATCTTACCTTCAAATTTTTTAAGAGGTGATTTCACTCTAACTTTGGAAGTTATTATAATTTATAATCATTATTATGAACTTAAAATTTGATATGTTGCGCGTGGGTCGGAGAGAAAAAATAATAGTGCTCTGGCATCGTCTTGAACAGCTAAACATTATTTAGTATGCCTATACATATAAAAACGTTAGCCTGTATTTGTATTTTGAATTTAAAATTGTTTTTAGAGCTGAACATGATGTATTAAGTGGCCGAAGAATAGTTGACATTGGTTATATTTTTAAATCAATTTCATTAGTATGGCATACACCATTTGATTGTTCATTTAAAAATTTAATTTTTTCCCATGAAATTCGTAAAGGATTTTTTTTGTGAATTTCATTTTGATTGTTCTATGTATCGTAAAAAAGAAATTATTTATTCTGAATTTCCAATTTTAAATGACAAATTAACGGTAAATGCTGCAGCTGTCACCATGTTAAATACAGGGCAAGGGCATTCCCAATTGGATCAATTTTCAGCCATTTTAGATATGCCTTGTATGTCTAATAAAACATATCAGAAAGAACATGAATTCGTGGCAAATAAAACACAATTAACTACATGGGAATCGATTGAAGAGGCTGGAAAAGAAGAAGCACGATTAGCTATTGAAAATGGTGAAGTAAATAGTAATGGTATACCCTTGATAACCGTCGTTGCTGATGGCGTGTGGTCAAAAAGATCCTATAAACATAACTACAATGCATTATCTGGAGTTGTAAGTTTTTATTTTAATCATTTTATAAAATATTAAAAAAGGCGGGCAAGACTATAATTGTAATATTTTAATATTTACTAATTTATAGACTTGCTTTGTCGGTTATAGAACAAGAAAAGTATTATTTATTGGAGTACGGAACAAATACTGTTCGGTATGTATGAAAGCTAAGGCAATAAACAAAGATCCTCCAAATCATATTTGTTATAAAAACTGGAGCAACACTAGTACTTCTATGGAGTCAGATATAATTGTAGAAGGTTTTCGACAAAGCATTCCTACACATGTAGCGAGCTGTGACTATGTTTAAATATTATAAATAACCACTCCAGTAAATCACTCCAGTAGTTATAAATATACAGGAGAAACACGATATGTTGAAGGAGGCCTACGAAGCGTCTATTGCGCGTGACCTCGAAACGTATATGTTAATAAATATATCACTACTTATATGAATATTATTAAAATAGTTCACATTAACAGCGTTGTGTTGCCTCAATAGAGATGACAACGACCAGATAGGCAAGGGACATCTGGCGTGTGCAGCGCGTGGCCGCCCACGGTATGACCTTATATGGTAAAGTAGTAGGATAATAAGCAGGGATACGATCCAAGGATCACCATTTCAAAATACGTCGCTCGAATAGGCTTCGGCAGACGAACCAACACCAACGAGCTAGACGGACCAACACCAACGACTAGCTAGGAGCTAGGATATCACAGTCACATCTCGCTAGTCTTCATTATTTAATATAGTCACTTTGGACTTAGTACATTTATTGTTTTTTGTATTAATCAAATAAAAGTATTCAATTTATAAAGAAAAAAAACAGACTCTTCTTCATTTATTTTTCAACTCCATCAAACGGACGTAGTCGGTTTGTTACACACATAATATAATTTATCATAAACTCATAGGAGATGGAGACTCTAGTGTACTAAAAAAAATTATGATGTCAAAACCGTATGGATTTGATACGGAAGTACAAAAAATTGAGTGTACTAACCATATTTTAAGAAACTATTTAAATCGCATAGTGGATATAGGATCTAGGAGAAAAAGTTCAAGCGGCGTTGTCGTCCCTGGTGAGCTACGAAAAATGTTAAAGGAACGACGTTTAAAACTGAGGTAATTTTTTTTAATCATTGAAAAAAAAAATAGAATAATATGCTGCTTTTCTCAGTCTTGTATTTATTTACTAGTCTTGTCTTTATTTTATATTCACAATACAAATTATATTACAGGACCGGAATTACATACGTAATTAAATATAGATCGAAATTAGACGTCCCTTTAAATTACAAGATCACTTTATTAAGGGAGGATATAGAAAATGGGCCTTATCATGTTTTTGGTTCTCATGACAAGTGTGCTAAGTGGGTTTTTCGTAATAATGTGCTTATTTAAACATAAAAAAAAGTTATAGACAAACTTTATTACAATAATTAATGATTTTTTTTAGTTATTTTTGTGATGGACCTAAACCCGGGGAAAGAAATATGATTTCCGAAATGGAAAATTGTGGACTTTGGCAAG